CGTTACAAAGGCGGTGCCGCACGCTCAGCCCACGTCGCTCCACCACCACCACCAACAACCACCACGGGCAAAGGGCCCATTTTTAAAATATAAAAGAGAGAGAGACCGACCACAGGCCTCAGGCTTGCGCCAAACAAAAGCGCGATTTTTAGTTTTTATATTTAAGGCGTGGGGTGCGCGTGTGCGTGTGTGGGGGTAGCGTGTGTGTGTGAGGGGGGTTAACAGTTTTGCAGGCGCAACGCCGCCAACCTCTCTCGTCGCTCGCTGCGCCCGCTCGCCCCTCACGCTTCACGGCCGCATGCGGAGACCGCGGGGAACCGAGGGCCCCTCGCTCGCTCGCTCGCCCGCCGCCCGCCGCCTGGAGCCTGGAGTCCGGTGCAGAGGGCCTCGTCCTTCTTCACCTGCGGGGCCGTCTGAGGGCCCGTAGCAGCGGGAAGGCCCAAGCCGCGCTCTCATTGGCTGAGCCATCGCTTCCCGTGGGGGGGGGTGGGGGTGTGATTGCGCGATTGCTATTGGAAGAGAGATTTGTAAGGGGCGGGGGAGGAGGGTGGGAGGAGCTATAATTGTAACCGGGATGCCATAGCAGAGGGTTTACCTCTAGCGGGTATGGTTTGCCATGTTAGAGGTTTTACCTCTAGGCTTGGTTTGTTTGATAATGTCTAGAGGTACTATAGCAGAGGGTTTACCTCTAGCGGGTATGCCTTGTCATGTTAGAGGTTTTACCTCTAGGCTTGGTTCGTTTGGTAATGGCAAGAGGTACCATAGCAGAGGGTTTACCTCTAGAGGGCGTGGCTTGCCATGTTAGAGGTTTTACCTCTAGGCTTGATTCGTTTGGTCGTGGTTAGTGGTACCATAGCAGAGGGTTTACCTCTAGGGGATACCACTTGCCATGTTTAAGGTTTTACCTCTTGGCTTGACAATGTGTAGAGGTGCCATAGCAGAGGTTTTACCTCTCTGGGGTAGAGGCTGCCATGTTAAAGGTTTTACCTCCAGGCATGGAGCTGTAGCACCCTATGTAGCGGTACCATAGCAGAGGTTTTACCTCTATATGGTATGGCGTGCCATAGTAAAGGTTTAACATCATCCGTTTAACAAATAAAATAAACTAAAACTGTAGATTTGGTGGTTTATGACGATGTGTACACTAACAGAAGTTGAAACCTTTAGGGGGCAAGGATTGCCACGTTAAAGGTTTTTACCTCTCAATCTCGGTGGTGAGAAATGTCATGTCTAGAGGTACCATAGCAGTGGTTTACCTCTAGCTGCGAGTACGTATGTTAATGTAGAGTGGCATTTGTAATTGCTGCAAACATTGATACACGGAATGTAACAATCTTGATTTGAATGTATGTTTGTGGAAATCTATTGATGTCGATCGATTCCATGGTTCGCGTTAAATATGTATTCACACACTTTAGCGGCATCAAGTTCAGCACAAGCAAACAACGGGCCCGGCTTCGGCATGCGGTGTTTCATACTCTTAGGTTTTTTCGGTAAAGTCACGTGGGCAAAAATAAATAATAAAAGTGAAAATAATAAAATATTAATAAAAATATTTTTTATTTCTATAATTTTTACTTTTATTATGAATTTTTCCCTACGTGACTTTACCGAAAAAACCTAAGAGTATGAATCTTTGCGGTCACGAAAGCTTCAAATCTAGAATGCGGTGTTTCATCAGCAGTCACAGGCCCGCCACAAGCAATGCTGCTGCAGGCAAAGGGGCCGTCCATAAATGACGTCACGCACCTAGGGGCGGGTGGGTGGGTGGGGGTCAGACATTTGTGACGATGTGTGACGAGGGGGGAGGGCGGGTTTAAGAAATGTGACGTCACATCAAAATGCGCAACTTTAAATAAATACAGACAACACGTTCTACTTACTTAAATAGACTTTAGTTTAAAGCGATTTGAAGCATTTTTATTTTGGGGGGGGGGGGGGCAGAGCTTTGTGACGTCATATTTTAGGGGGGTCTGACTTTTTGTGACGCCGTGTGACGAGGGGGGAGGGGGCAAAAATCGTAAAAAAATCGCGTGACGTCATTTATGGACGGCCCCAAACCCCCTCTCCCTCTCTCTAAGACACGGGGGTCCCGCTGAGTTCAACGCAAAACCATTGCTGGCGGATCGGCAGGGTTGCCTTTGGCGGGCCTGACTGCTGATGAGACACGGCATCTCGAAACTTGGCTTGGAGTGGGTTTTATCGGCGTTAAGGCACTAACCGTAATAGGGGCCGTCCATAAATGACGTCACGCGGCCGTCTGGAACGCTCTCCCCTTCCGATGTTAGGGAGCCACGGGGAGCTGATGCACTGTTACGTCACCTCGATCAGGGGTCGGCAAAACTGCGGCTCTTCGTGGCCGTGATGAAGGAACCACCATCACCGTCTCGTATCCACGTCCATTGCGGCTCTTGAAATAACGAGTTTTTCTTGAACGAATTAAAAAATGAAACAGAACTGGCTCTTCTTTCACCTGAAGACGGTCGCTTGTTGTTGCGATCGAAACGTCGTGATCTATTATTTTTCTCTCTACCTACGTGACTTTACCGAAAGAACCAAAGAGTATGGATTCCTGCAGTCACGAAAGCTTCAAATCAAGATTGGATCTTGTTATTTTGGCTGCCGACTCCTGATGTAGACTAATTTCGTTTATAACTGTGTTTTAGTGTTTTTAGTTTGTTGTCCTCCCCGCCGCACATCCGATTGAGCACGGTTGGCTACGTACGGTGGTGCGACATGAACTCAAAACAAACGTGTTCACGTACAATGCGCTATTCAAAAGTGACCAAGACTGGATTTCTGAGATTGTAGATTCAGCCGAACGACCGGGAACACGAAGGTAATGAACTCGCCGCTGCGCCCCGCAGATTTCCAGTCGAACCACGACGCGTCTCGAGCCGGGACCCTCGCCGAACGAACGCCCCGCGTCTCGTTGTCATTGTTGTTCACAGCACACGATGATCGTGGCCTGCGATGGTGAAGCGCGCAAGCCGGAGTGGCAGCCTGGGCAGGGAACGCGTCCAGGGGGAACGTCCCCCGAGGAGATGGAGCACGTGCTGGATGGAGATCGCAGCACCACAAGAAGAATATCGTGGCCGTGGTTTGCACGGTGGAGGCTTTCATCCGGCAGTGGATTGAACGTGGCTGGATTGATGATGATGATAAAGGTAAGTGGTGTTCTCAAGCCAAATTATTACGACTACGATACCACATTGTCCGTGCGTGATTTCTGGACACCGCACACCAACGGCAGTGCCGCGAGGATGAATTAAAGCCAAGTCGATGTGGCCCCGTGCCCTCCCAGTAAAAACATGGAACGTGGGGCCAACGTTGGGTCAACGTTGGCCCGAGCACACGCCACAACCGCGCTCCCGGACCGCTAAATGTCGAGGTGAGGCACTGGAGCTGCCGTGAGTGGGATGCGGCCGGTCAACCCGAAGGGAGTCTTGGAATCAAACACCGAAGAGCTCTTTATTAAATTCACGGCGAGAAAACAAAATTACAACCGAACGACAGCAATAATAACAACAACAACAACAAGAGAAATTGCCACCGACGTCACCCACGCAAGCTCGTTCGTGGCATCCGCGAGCTGAAATTGTGCAGCGAACGGAACGGTTGAGTTTGTTCTTTCTTCTTCGTCTTTTTGGACGACAGCGATGGACCACAGGCCGAGTGGGATGACGCGTGGCCTGCAAGTCCACCATCGCGTGGGGTGCGGTGCAAAGACGGAGATCGCCCCGTGCAGCGCGAACAGACTGTCGGGGCAAGTGCCATAAGCGAGCGGCACCTATGAAGGCCGGAACGGGTTCACGAGTGGGTGGGTGGTCAGCACCACGCCCGGCCGTCTTCGTCTCCCCAGTGGCGATGTTTACACACCACGCTCCAGCTACTCATTGGAGGCCGAGCCGACCTAGGGGTGGCCAAGGACTGGTTCAGACACTGGTGCTGGTGGCCGCGAGCGGGAATCGAACCCAGGTGGCCGGGTTCGTAGCGAGGGGCGCCAGCTGCTGTGCTGCCGCTCCCCACAAGCGCACACACTTGGCCCGTGGGACAAGGGGGGGTGGGATCGGTGGACACCACTTGGGGTGGCAAACGTCCACCAGTGTGTCCCACAGTAGGTGGACAACCCAGCAAACGTGCAAACGTGAGGCCACCGTCGGTTGATGTTGGGACCCGACATTGTTTGAATGTTTAGCGGGCAAGCTTCGCAGTGCTCGTGCCATCTGTTTTTTTTGTAATTTACTGACGTCATCTTTATTTTGACACTTCATATAAGATGCTTCATTTTCACATTGGGGTTTTTTTTTTAAATGAAACAAATAAATATAAAAAATATCATTAAACTCGTTACGATACCCGTCATTAACCAAACAACATTTTAATCAAAGAGAGCTACCACGTGAGCCTTGCTATGAGACGCATGCACGATCTGTAGAGAAAATCGTTTGCAAAAAAAATATTCAGTTTAACACGTAGTAGTAGTAGGGCTTTTGCAACCAATATTATCCAGAAGAGGTTTTTGGGTTAGATCACGTAAATATGTGATGGTAAACCCGCTACTTGACAAACCTAACTAATTGGCTGTGTCGGGTGGTGGCGGGTTTAACGACACATTTATATTTTACGTGATGTAACTCAAAAACCTCTATGATGGAAAAAAAATCTTGGTTGGCGATTGGGCGAGCCACGGTTGGTACCGGCACGACATTTTTGACCCCACGACTCCGGCGGGAACGACTGTGCAACGAAAATTAGGCCTAAATGTTTAGATATTGTTTTTTTTACGATTGATCCTAAAGCCCTCCAACGTGGGCTGTGGCGTTGGTGGCGTGGTCCTGCAGTGAGGCTCACGGTTCGAAAATCCATCGGACGCCACGTTTAATACCGCGGCTTTAACAACGGTGATAGTAATAGCATCCGTAGTAATACTACTCTGCACGATGTGTTTCGCAGCGGACGTTAAATATCCTCACACCCCAGAACCCCCGACGTTATTCGCAAAGAGCAGGCCATTTCGCGAGTAGGGCATTGTGTGCAACGTTTGCCAATTTACCCTGAAAATTGGGATTATGACTGGCACACTCTGCAAAATGCGACTAATCCGGTCTCTCTCCCGAGTTGTCACCCGGGGCTAAACCAAGTCATACAAAACCTGGGAGGCTATGCGGGAAGCAGTGAGTCAAGGGCTGCGATGCTACATGCACCGTTGACATTTTTGCGTGATACATTAGGCTGGCGGCTAGCGGGCGTCTTACGCAGGGACACGGCTTCACCCATTATTGCTACGGCAATGTCGTCATGCTGTTCTGCCACGCGAGACGACGTCAAATTTTGCTCCACCGTACCAACCCGGTAAGCGTAGGAACGTCAGGGGGGTCGGGCGGGCAACGTTCGCTCCGACGGTTCCACGGCCGAACGCCGATGACGCTGGCCCAACGTGGGGCCACGTTGTTTCCCGGGAAGGGACCTGTTTGCGCCCCCCTACGTAAGATAGCCGCGGGGAGAAAAACGAGGAAATCGCTTCCAACAATACTGCTGCAGTGCGCGTGTGAGGCTCGTTTAAAAAGAGAAAACCAAACCCGTCTGGCTCGTGTAAACATGTCACATTCTGTAAATATGCTCGCTTCAGCATGGCTCGACTTTTGTAAGTAACTAATAACTATCCTACGAAAAAATTATTGATTTTAAAAACACAGCTTGATAAAAAGAGACCAGTCTCAGTGTTGCGATTTAGGCTGACGCCAGCACGCACGCACGTCACGCACACACACGCAATCATATTAATCATGAATCCTTCATTTGTCTAACAAAAAAGACCTCGCAGAGTCCCACGTTATCTAGAGTCTGGCTCCGTGCGCGAGCAAATCGAAGAACCCGCACGAAAACCCGTGCATACGAGGTGGTGGCGGTGGGTGGTGACGGTGGAAGCTCCACACAGATGGATTCAAGAATCCACTGCCGCGCTGACAATTTGTATATGGCCACCAGCAAACCCCACGCCAACCACAGATGGTGTTTATCGGGCGGTCTCCCATCCAATTTATGAGAAATGTTGCCTCTTCCGAAGACAAAAAAACACTCAATCATAATACGTGGAAATTTCAACCCTTTCATTTGTCACCCATATAAGGGCATGGAATAATTGGTCCTAAGAGTGTGGAATGTACCACCTTCGAGTTTGCTTGGAGGGAGAAGTTGGATTTCAAGGTCAATAACACGTGGGAACTTCCCTACAATCTCCTCTAGACCCCCCCCCCTCCTTCTCCATAATGGACTTTCCCTTAAAAATCTCACCAGTGCCATGAGGAATGTTTTGTGTAGGTGATATAGCATGTGTGTGTGCGTGTCTTTGTGTGTATGTTAAAGTATAAACAGTATAAGGAATGAAATGTAAACGTTTTTGGCTTTAAATAAAAACAAGATCTGTGCTCTTTCTCATTGTGCGTCGTGGGCCCGTAAGAGGAGTACGAGGCTGAGCCTCCGGGGTGGACAATGTGACAGGGATGATGGAACTGTTGTTGGCAGTGGGTGCCATAAACACCACCACCAACAACAACAACAACTCAACGCATCCACGTCAATAACACCGGCGGATAATCCCCCTGGCTCTGAAGAAGGGCCCCTGCCCGAAACGTTGGCTCTAATTTTTTTTTAACATTTTTAACTTGTTAGGACCACACACACACACGCACGAGTGTTACTGACGAATGCGTCGAGTTTGTGCGTTCGCTTCAAGATTATTCGCGTGGGAGGAAACCCGGAGCGCCTACCAGAGGCAACAACCTACTTCCTGTACCGCCACCTCCCCAATCGCCTGTGTAGGCTCGGGAGAGGGAAGGGGTGGAGGGGGGGGGGGTGTCTCTCGCACACCGTAATCCCTCCACGGTCCACCAACCCTGCCTCAAAAGGTGCTCGGTCACAGGCGCGTGGGGCAAGGTAACGGGGGCACGGTAACGGGGGCACGGTAACGGGGGCACGGTAACGGGGGCAAGGTAACGGGGGCACGGAGGGAGGGGAGTGTGCGATAAAACCCCGCGACGGAATCCAACGTTGACGCTGCGAGCTCCTGAGACTCCCCGAGGGCCGGGCGGCCGTGCCCGTGCCTCCCGATGCGAGCGCACGTCGCTGCTTGCGCCGGATGTGAGGTCCTGAGAGGCGACGCTGCTTAGACAGCTGGTGAAGAGGGGTGGGGTGGGGGAGTGACCGGGTAGGAAGAAAGAGGAAGGGTTTGTGGGGCGAGGGAAAGGGGTGATAAGGGACGGACACGACGGGGAGAAGAAAGAGAATGTCGAGGGGGAGGAGGGGGAAAAGGAGGCGGCAAGAGGTGAGAGGGAGATGTGGTGAGAACGGGAGAGAGGAGGAAGACACAGCGGGGGGGGGGCGAGGGGGGTTATGGGGAAAAGGAGGGAGGGAGGAGAAGTGCTACGTCCGTCGTCCCATCTCGATGGTGTCCGCTGGCCGGGTCGTCGGCTTGGCCGTCTTCGCGGCGGAACGGTTCCTCTTGAGGGTTCCTGTGGACACAGCGAGGGGGCGGGGGGGGGCACGGTGGGGGGGGGGGGGCACGGTGGGGGGCACGGGGGGGGCACGGGGGGGCACGGGGGGGGGCACAAGCCAGGTGAGCGGGGGGGCGACCCGTCCCGTCGCTAGACGCCGTGTCCCGTGTCATCCCATCCCGTCGCCCCGTTGTATCCTGTCCCATCCCGCCCCGCTGCTGCATCGCCCCGCGGGTTAGAGGAGGAGGAGGTTACGAGGGGCGTGACGCGTGATGATGTGCAGGGGCAGAGAGGCGGCTGGGATAGCGGCGGTGGTGCAGCGGGCAGCGCGCTGCACCACCGGCTCGGCGGGTCATCGGCGGCGACAATCGTCTGCCCCTGGGCCGCCTCTCTCGGCCTCCAGTGGGCACCTGGAGCGGTGTGCGGGAGACGTCGCCGGCCCCCCGCCCACCCTCGTGCGCCGTGCCAGCCTTCATTCGGTGCTCGCTAACAGCACTTGACTCGACAGTCTGCTAAGGCTACACGGGGGATCTTTGCCTTTTGCAGGGCGGAGGAGAATGGGACAAGGAACTTGGAGGTAGCGATGGGTGTGACGCGTGGTGTGTGGTGTCGAGCACAGGCGGTGCATGGGCCAGTCGTCTCGGTCAACACATTGCACCTGGGTCTGTCCCGTGACCTCCTGCCAGCGGGCGTTCGACACTTCACGTGGCCCTAAAGTGCACCTGGCCTGGCACAGGTGCCGTAGTGGCGGCTGTTGTTGCAGGGTGGTACATGTGGTGCAATCCGCGCGTGTAGTGTCTGTAGTACATGTGGTGTGTGCGGTAAGTGCGGTGCGTGCCTGCGGTGCGTGTGGTACATGTGGTGTGTGCGGTACGTGTGGTGCGTGTGGTGTCTGTAGTGCATGTGGTGCGTGCGGTACGTGTGGTGCATGTGGTGTGTGCGGTGTCTGTAGTGCGGTGCATGCGGTGCGTGCGGTGCGTGCGGTGCTGGCACCTGGCAGCGGCTTGTGCCGGGGCAGCGTGGGGTTGCTGGTGGGGGTGTGGACGCTGCACACGCGGATGAACGCCGCCATGAGCAGCACCAGCGCCAGCGCCATCAGCAGTACGGCCCACCAGTACGCCTGGGGGGGGGGAGGGTCACGGTGGGGGGGGGGGGGGGGTCACGGTGGGGGGGGGGGGTCACGGTGGGGGGAGGGTCACGTGGTCAGCGAACGTGTGTTCCTGGTGTCCAAGTTCGCGAGCGTCTTCTGACCCCGTGCCCCTATTGGACGACTTCTGTGAAGAAGAGCTTCACGGCTCATCGGATTCCTCCTGCTGCAGTATAAATACCCGTTCCGTCAACCGCAAATAAGCGCCGTCAGCCTCGCGGTGGCCGGCAGAGACCCCCCGAAGTCGTTCGATACGAGCAGGCCGCCGTCGTGCGCCGGAGTGACGCGTCACGGCGGCGTCGTGGTCACTCACGACGATCCACTCGGCGATGGTCTCGTAGAGCTGTGGGTCGAAGATGGCCTTGCGGAGGCGCGCCAGGGGCCCGTCGGCGTCCACGAGGCGGCAGCGCGAGAACACGTCGCAGTAGCCGCGGAAGTCGTTGCAGGCGGCGCCCGGCTGCAGCGTCACCACGTGGCCCGAGAAGTAGCGCTGCCAGCTGTCCGAGCCCGTGCTGGAGCACGAGTCGGCGTTGCCTGGGGGGGGGGGGGGTCGTGGGGGGGGTCGTGGGGGGGTCGTGGGGGGGTCGTGGGGGGGTCGTGGGGGGGTCGTGGGGGGGTCGTGGAGGGGGAGAGGTTGTGAGGAGGTTACACTCCAGAACTCGGGGCGATGTGTGGAGAGTGTGTGGGGTGTGCGGGGGTGTTTGGGAGGGGAGTGGCGGTGTGTGTGGGGGGTGTGTGGGTGTGTGTGGGTGTGTGGGTGTGTGTGGGTGTGTGGGTGTGTGTGGGTGTGTGGGTGTGTGTGGGTGTGGGTGTGTGTGGGTGTGTGTGTGTGTGTGGGTGTGTGTGTGTGTGCGTGCTAGTGGGGTGTCCCCAGTGTAGAGGGGGCGATGGCGACGCGGGCTGCAGGGCGTCTCACCCCGCTCCATGCAGCACACGTGGCACAGCTCCTGGTCGTCGGCGTTGGCGCAGGCACACTCCTCCAAGCCGTAGCGCTCGCAGATGGAGCCCTCGCACAGCTGCGGGGGGCACGGCGGGGGGCACGGCGGGGGGCACGGCGGGGGGCACGTGAGCCGGCGGTGACGATGATGACGATGATGAAAACACAATAGTGGTGGTGATGTCGTTGGTGGTGATGACGATGTTCACGATACTGTTGCTGCTGTTGGTGGTGGTGGTGCTGGTGGTGCCGGTGGTGCCGGTGCTGGTGGTGCTGCTGGTGGTGGTGATGGTGGTGCTGGTGGTGATGGTGCTGTTGGTGATGGTGCTGCTGGTGGTGGTGCTGGTACTGCTGGTGGTTGTGATGGTGCTGCTGCTGGTGGTGGTGCTGGTAGTGCTGCTGGCGGTGGTGGTGCTGGCGCTGGTGGTGGTGCTGCTGGTGCTGCTGCTGGTGGTGGTGGCGGCGATGGCACGTACCCCCTTGAGGCACACCTGGGTGCCCGCGTTGCACACGGTGAAGTCGGTGCGTGGGGGCGACGGTGGGCACGGCGAGGAGCGCCCGTCGCAGCGCCCGTCCAGGGCGCACTCCGACGCGTTGCGGCACGGCTCGGCGGCGCCGCGGTAGCGGCACTGGCGCGTGCAGCACGGGCCCTGGGAGGGGCTGGCGCCGCGGCAAAGACAAAGACAAAGGTTCAACCCCACCGTGTAAAGCCTGCACGGGCCGTTTGGGCAAGTGCTGCGGAGCGAGCGAGCGCCGATGAAGGGAGCGGTGTGGCCGCTTTGTTGAGCTATCATTCATATCTCGGTGGGCTTTACTTGGTAAGATAATTTTGTTTAGTTTCATGTAATATTGTTTTATTAGGGTTTTGTTTACCTTTCCTAGACCTCGTGCCCCTCACTGGACATCTGTAAGAAAGAGCTTCATATCTCATCAGATTCCTCCAGTAGAGATATTCTGATTCTCCCCAGTGCTGCCGTTCACATGTCAAACTGGGAACGCATTTAAATTATTTTACTGTGAAACCATTTAAATTATTATAAACCATTTATACCATTTAAACCATTCTTTTTTATTTTACCAGGTAAGGCCCACTGAGCTATGTAGCTGTTTTTCATCACAAATGATCGCTCAACAAAGTTGGCTTATCATCATCATCATCACGTGGAACACGATGCAAGCCAAACACTCTAAACGCGTGATGACGTCGATTATAAATGTGGAGGGAAAAACCGGGAGGACCCGGAGAAAAATCCACGCGACCACGGGGAGAGAGACACACAAACTCCACATATACAGCAGCAGGCGTCAGGGTCGGGATCGAACCCACGACCTCCTGCACACCAGGCGAGGTAGTTAACATCTCCTCGCCACCGTGATGATGATGAGAGTGAGAGAGACACGCAAACTCCAAATATACAGCAGCAGGCATCAGGGTCGGGATTGAACCCACGACCTCCTGTAGACCAGGCGAGGTAGTTAACATCTCATCGCCACCGTGATGATGATGAGAGTGAGAGAGACACACAAACTCCAAATATACAGCAGCAGGCGTCAGGGTCGGGATCGAACCCACGACCTCCTGCACACCAGGCGAGGTAGTTAACATCTCCTAGCCACACACACGTGTACACACACACACACCAACTACAACCGCCACTAAGTTGCGGTGACGCCACCACGGCCCTTGTGCCAGGCTAGGTGCACCTTGAGGCCACGTGAAGTGTCGCCCGCTGGGAGGAGGTCATGGGGCAGACCCAGCAGGTGCCACGGGTCGACTGACTGAGATGACTGAGATGACTGAGATGAGTGGCCGATGCACCACCCGTGCCCCCTACTGTGCCAACTTGCTGTGCTTTAGCCACCCGGCGCTCCGCACGTACACACACGCACACGCACACACACGCACACACACACGGACACACACGCACGCATACACACATGTACACACATGTACATGCACGCACACGCACACGCACACACACGTACACACACGTGCGCGAGGGTGGGGGGGGCGGTCCCAACGTGTGAACCACCTGCACTGCATGCCGGGTCTCAGGCGGCACCGCTTGCTCTGCTCCTCGTCCGCGTTGTGGCAGCACTGGTCGCGGCACTGGTCCCGGTAGCCGCAGTCGCACTCCTCCCCCTCCTCCACGATGCCGTTCCCACAGATGGGGTTCCCAGACTCTGCAGCCCCGAGTCGGCATGGGAGGGAGGGGAGAGGGGAGGGGGACACACAGGGGGGTGAGTGCTGTGGATGCCCAGTGAGCCTCACTCTCATGCCAAGCTGCGGCTAAGCTGGCTCGGGAAAGATCCCCCGTGTAGCCTGTAACAGACTGTCGGGGCAAGTGTTGTTAGCGAGCACCTATGGAGGCCGGCATGGCACACGAGGGGGTGGGTGGCCAGCAACCACGCCCGGCCGCCTTTGTCTACCTAGTGGCGATGCTCACACATCGCACCAGGTACTCATTTGAGGTCGACCTAGGGGAGGCCCAGGACCGGATCAGGTAATCGTCACTGGGTGTTGGCCGTGAGCGGGAGTCGAACCCAGATCGCCGGGTTCGTAGCGCAGCGTAGCGCTAACCGCTACACCGCCGCTCCCCGCACACACTCACACACTCACACACACGCACGCACACACTCAACAACCGCCATTCGCCACTAAGTGGCGGTGACGTCACCACGACGCTTGTGCCAGGCCATGTGCACCTTGAGGCCACGTGAAGTGTCGAACGCCCGCTGGCAGGAGGTCACGGGGCAGACCCAGTTGGCACACACTCACACACGCACACACTCACACACTCACGCACACTCACGCACACTCACACTCACGCACTCACGCACACACACACACTCACACACTCACACACCCTCACACACCCACACACTCACACGCACGCACACACACTCACGCACACGCACGCGCACGTACGAGTGCGCCGGGCCACTTGCCGACGAAGCAGTGGTGGCGCTTGGAGGCGAGCACGAGGCTGATGTTGCGCATGCTGCACGGCGAGAAGCGGTTGTTGTTGGGCCGGTCGCCCGAGGTGGCGCGTGCGTACATGATGAAGTTGCCGCGCTCCTTGGCGTCGGGGCTCAGCGACGTCCCCGGGGTGCAATCCAGGCCCGAGTCGTGCTGCGCACGCACGCACATTTATTCATCAGCGTGTCTCCCCGCTCGTCTCCCCGCGCGTCTCCCCGTGCGTCTCCCCGTGCGTCTCCCCGCTCGTCTCCCCGTGCGTCTCCCCGCTCGTCTCCCCGTGCATCTCCCCGCTCGTCTCCCCACGTGTCTCCCCAAGGGTCCCCTTGCCGCGTCTCCCGGTGTGTCTCCCTGTGCGTTTCCCCACCGTGTCTCCCCAAGGCTCCCCATGTCCCATCTCCGTGTCGCGTCTCCCCGTGTGTCTCCCCGCGTGCATCTTTCCAATTGTCCCCGCGTCACGTCTCCGTGTCTCCCCACGTGTCTCCCCACGTGTCTCCCCACGTGTCTCCCCGCGTGTCTCCCCGCGTGTCTCCCCGCGTGTCTCCCCGCGTGTCTCCCCGCGTGTCTCCCCGCGCGTCTCCCCACGTGTCTCCCTGCACGTTTTTCCAAGTGTCCCCAGGTCACGTCTCCCCATCTCCCCGTGGTGCGTCGTCCCTCACCGGCGAGCCGAAGTTGTGGCCGATCTCGTGGGCGAAGGTGATATGCGACACCTTGGGGGGCACGTGCGCCCCGTAGTTCTTCACCGTGATGATGCCCGTGTTCAGCGACTTCCTCTTCCCGTCCGAGTACAGTTTGTTCTTTTCGCAGATGCCGCCCGAGCTCCCTGCGGACCCCGAAATTTGTCGTGGGGCATTGGCGGCGAACGTGAGTCGAACCGCCGGGTTCGTACCCCCGGGCGCGCGTGGCGACGAGCACGCGCTCACGAACCCTTCTCGCTTTCCGACGACGTCTGCGGGCTGCAGGGCGGTGGGTGTTGCCCGTTCCACGCCGGGTCTCGGGACGCGCGAGCGGCTCGGCGTTCATTTTGTTTCGAGGGACGTAGCGGCAGCAGCAGCAGCAGCAACAGCAGCAGTAGTAGCAGCAGCAGCAGCGGCAGCAACAGCAGCAGTAGTAGCAGTTGCAGCAGTAGTAGCAGCAGCAGCAGCAACAGCAGCAGTAGCAACAGCAGCAGCAACAGCAGCAGCAGCAGTGGCAGCAACAGCAACAGCAGCAGCAACAGCAGCAACAGCAGCGGCCGCCATTTTTAAAAGACGTCGTCACTCACCGACGCGACCGCTGCCACCCTCTTGATATGCAAATTATTTTGTCAAGGCGCTCTTCCCCCTCCAACCCAGCAGCTTAAATATACGCTCCAAGCCTGGGGTGTTTCATTCAGACGCTGTCTTCCCGAAAGACCTGTTCTTCACCTGAGGACAGCTGCTTGCGTTGTGGCCGAAACGTCGTGAGAATTGTATTTTTTTATGTTTTATTTTTATTATTTTATTTTTTCCCTTCTACGTGACGACTTTACCGAAAGAACCAAGAAGACGAGTCGCAAACTTCACCGCGCTGTCGCGCAGCGTCGCACGCTACCGCAGCCGCCGCGTGCGCGCTCACCGGCGGGGGCTCCGACCCACGCGAGGCCGAGCACGCCGTCGTCGAAGTCGCGGTCGGTGAACACGTAGGCGAGGCAGTAGTCGTTGTGGTTCTGCTCCGAGTTGAGCTCCAGGAACTTCTCCACGCCGATGTTGGCGAAGCGGAAGGGGTTGGTGGGGTCGCGCTCCTCCTCCGTGCCGTTGATCTGCACGCGGCGTCACAACGGCGGCGCGACGCAACGTTGGACTTCGTGTACTTGTTTCACGCCATTCAAAGTCAATCGGAGGTGCATTGCTGAGTCTATGGGTAGTGTTGAGTCCATGGGTAGTGTTGAGTCTATGGGCAGTGTTGAGTCTATGGGCAGTGTTGAGTCTATGGGCAGTGTTGAGTCTATGGACAATGTTAGTCTATGGGCAGTGTTGAGTCCATGGTGCAGTGTTGAGTCCATGGTGCAGTGTTGAGTCCATGGTGCAGTGTTGAGTCTATGGGGCAGTGTTGGGTCTATGGTGCAGTGTTGAGTCTATGGGCAGTGTTGAGTCTATGGTGCAGTGTGGAGTCTATGGTGCAGTGTTGAGTCTATGGTGCAGTGCTGAGTCTATGGTGCAGTGTTGAGTCTATGGTGCAGTGTTGAGTCTATGGGTAGTGTTGAGTCTATGGGCAGTGTTGAGTCTATGGGCAGTGTTGAGTCTATGGTGCAGTGTTGAGTCTATGGTGCAGTGTTGAGTCTATGGGTAGTGTTGAGTCTATGGGCAGTGTTGAGTCTATGGGCAGTGTTGAGTCTATGGGTAGTGCTGAGTCTATGGGTAGTGCTGAGTCTATGGTGCAGTGTTGAGTCTATGGGGAGTGTTGAGTCTATGGGCAGTGTTGAGTCTATGGGCAGTGTTGAGTCTATGGGCAGTGTTGCGTCTATGGTGTAGTGTTGAGTCTATGGGCAGTGTTGAGTCTATGGGCAGTGTTGAGTCAATGGGGAGTGTTGAGTCTATGGGCAGTGTTGCGTCTATGGTGTAGTGTTGAGTCTATGGGTAGTGTTGAGTCTATGGGCAGTGTTGAGTCTATGGGTAGTGTTGAGTCTATGGGCAGTGTTGAGTCTATGGTGCAGTGTGTATGTTGAACTTCTTTTGCACCGTACGAATCTAACCGTGCTAATCGGGGGTGCGGGGGAAGGACAACAAACTTAACACAAAAAGGAGTTTGAAAGAAATGAGTTTTCCAATCTCGATGATGATTTCAAAGTGGCTTCTTAACAGCGGAAGGAAGAGCATTCCAGACGGCCGCAAAAGCGACCTTATCACGTATTCGTTCGTGTCGTATGTGTATGTTGAACTTCTTTCGTACCGTACGTAGCCAACCGTGGTAATCGCAGGTGCGGGAAACTCCACGAGCTTGACTCGTGGAGTTTTGTTTTGTTGTTGCTGCTCTTATCATGGCCGCGATCCTTGCGCATCGTGACCCACTGTGTTACTGTCCACAATAACATCGAACAAGTTTATCCACCCCCCTTAGTGGGTATGATGGGGATGAGTCGGCAGCCTACAGGGGGATTGAAACCTCGGCCGCCTTCCCGTTGCGAGCTCGAGAATTCTGACCGCGGCGCTGTAGAACGGGGCCGCGAGGGAGGCCAGGGGGGCCAGGGGGGTGGGCCAGGAGGGTGGAGGGGCGGTGGGGGGGGGGGGGCAGGGGGGCGGGCGGGGGGCATTCCACGGTGGCTAGGAGATGTTGACCACCTCGCCTGGTAAACAGGAGGTCGTGAGTTCTATCCCGACCCTGACACCTGCCGTATATTCGGAGTTTGCGTGTCTCTCTCCCCGTGGTTTTTCCCTCCACGTCCAGAATCGACATCACGCTTTAGTTGTTTTCGCCTGCCGCCGCTGTACATTTGCACGCGATGAGCCGGTTCCGTCGAGCTATCGTTTGCGATGGCCAGGCTCGCTTCCGCAAAAATATCTACGTAGCTCAGTGGGCCTTACCTGGAAACGAAAAAATAAATAAAAACAATATTGTTCTGTCCAGGGCCCCGAGGAGCCTCTGCGAGCGGCCCGGCGCACGACGGACGGCGACTCACCCGGACCCTCTTCACCATGAAGTTGATGCCCCGGATTCCGTTGAAGTTGGTGTTCTGGTAGATGCTGTCGATCGCCTTCACGTGGCTCGCAATCTGACGCACGCGGAGAGACACGTGGAGAAACATGCGGAGAAACACGCGTGTCGCGAAACTGACTGAGACCAAGGTCCACCCGCGTAGCCTTTAACAGACCGTTGGGGCAAGTGCTGTTAGCGAGCACCTACGAAGGCCGGAACAGCGCACGAGGGGGTGAGTGGCCAGCACCACTCCCGGCCGCCTTTGTCTCCCGAGTGGTGATGTTTACATACTCATTTGATGCCAAGTCGACCTTGGGGAGGCCCAGGACCGGTTCAGTTAATATAATCGTCAATGGTGTTGGCCGATGGGGCACGGTGACACGCGCTGTGACACGCGCTGTGACACGCGCGGTGACACGCGTGCTGTAAAAGGCACGCTGTAAAACGCGCGCGGTGCCACGTGCGGTGCCAGGTGCGCGCGTCGCTCACCTGTGCGATGACGGCCTCGCGGCTGCCGTAGAACTTGTGGAAGAAGTGGTCGGCCTGGATGAAGAGGAGGCACGTGTTCCTGTCCCCCGGGACGCTGCGTGTGCCACGCACCGCGGCACCGGCACCGCCACCACCGCCACCGCCACCACCGCCACTCTGCACCGCGACAGCCGACATCGCACACCCATTCCGGTTGAGAGTTTTCTTGTTGTTCTTGTCGCTAACTGCGCCCCTGCACCGCTGCCAAAGCGGCAGCAGCATCACCAAATAGTTTGATAAGGGAAGGGTGGTGAGTGATGTTTGGCTGTGAGGACGCGTGTGTGTGTGTGCGTGTGTGTGCCCGTGTGTGTGTATATGGAAGGAGCGGTACCTGATGCAATGTGTAAACATCGCCACTGGGGAGACAAACGCGGCTGGGCGTGGTGCTGGCCACCCACCCCCCTTCGTGTGCCGATCCGGCCTTCATAGGTGCCACTCGCTAACAGCACTTGCCCCAACAGTCTGTTGTGGTTATACGTGGGATCTTTGTCTTTGTTGTGTGTCCGAGTGTGTGGAAGGAGGAGTGGTGCAGCGGTTGGCACACTTTGCTACAAACCCGGCACCCCTGGGTTCGATGTCCGCTCACGGCCAACACCAGTGACGATTATCTGAACTGGTCCTGGCCCTCCCCTAGGTCCACTCAGCCTCAAATGAGAACCTGGTGCGGTGTGCCAACGTCACCACTGGAGAGTAAAAGGCGGCCGGGCGTGGTGCTGGCCACCCACCCCCTCGTGCGCCGTTCCGGCCTTCACAAGTGTTACTCGCTAACAGCACTTTCCCCAGCAGTCTGTTTCAGGCTATACGGGGGAGCCAGCAAGTCTGAACATTTGTTATCGCGCACTCTTGATGATGAGGCCAGCCCACCATGGAAGCGTCACCACGCAGGTGAGCGCACAGTGAAACCCTTCAGATCAACAACAGCGCTGTGGTAAGTCCGTGACAAAAGTATGGATCCGGAACATCTGCCCTAATTACACTGAAAGTTGTTTTTATTCATGCCCGGCTTATGAAAAGCTTGACATTTTTGGCATGAGCCCTCCCCTGCCCTCCCCCGCCCCCCCCCCCCCCCCCCGTGGAAGTTTCTAGAACCACTTCCACCCCATCATAGGAATGTGGAATGTCCACCACCGGCTCAGGGTTGTTTGTGTGTGTGCAAGGTACAGCATCTCATCTCAAACACATTCGAGATAAACTAAAACTCTTATATTTTAAATATATATATATTTACCAGGTTAAGGCCCACCGAGTTACGTAGCTATCCTTCAGAAGGGACCTGCCCATCACAAATTATAGCTCAACGAAGCGGCTTATCACGTGGACATTGTAGCAGCGAAATACTCGAAATGCGTGACGTCAATTCTCAATGTGGAGGGAAAATCCGGAGGACCCAAGAAAAATTCACGTGACCACAACGAGAGAGAGAGAGACACGCAAACTCCAAATGCACAGCAGGCGTTAAGGGTCGGGATCGAGCCCATGACCTCCTGTATCCCAGGTGGCAAGTTGATAACCCAATCGTCTGATATGCAGGAGGCCGTGGGTTCGATTCCAACCCTGAAGCCTGCGTGTCTCTCTCTCACCGTGGTCGCGTGGACTTTTCTCCGGGTCCTCCGCTTTTTCCCTCCCACATTTAGAATCGGCATCATCTCGCGTATTTGGCTGCCACACATTGCCACGTGGTGATGATGATGATGAGCCACTTGGTCGCTTCTGAACAAGAGCTACGTAGCTCAGCGGGCCTGACCTGGCAAAATAAAAACATTCTCTAGCCGAGTGAGCATCTCGCCGCCCCCCCCGCCACGGCGCTGACCTGGTCACGTGCTCCGTCATCATCTTCCACGTGCCCCGCGCGGCGCTGGAACGCGGCCATGCGTTGGAAGACGGCGCCATCGGCGCAGCCGCCACCCTCCCCGCGGCCGCCTCCATGGTCGCGGGGGTCGTCTGGGCAGAGACACCACGAGCAACCCCCCCGAACGCTGATGACGGTGAAGATAACGAGGACGATGATGGCGACGAGCAGCGAAGCGATCCTACGCCCTCGCTGCAAGGCAGCCACGGCGGTGGCTCTCGCATCATCCTTGATCATCATCGTCGTCATCATCGTCGTCATCATCGTCGTCATCATCGTCATCATTTTCTTGGTTCTTTCGGTAAAGTCACGTAGAAGGGAAATAATAAAATAATAAAAATGAAACATAATAAAATAATTCTCATGACGTTTTGGCCACAACGCAAGCAGCCGTCCTCAGGTGAAGAACAGGTCTGTCGGAAAGACAGCATTCAGACGTGACTTTACCGAAAGAACCAAGAAGATGAATCCCTGCAGTCACGAAAGCTTTAAATCGAAAATTCGTCATCATTATCGTCGTCATCATCGTCGTTATTGTCATAGTCGTCATCGTCATCATCATCATTATTATTCATATTCTTTGGGTCTTTCGGTAAAGTCACGTAGAAAGGTTCAAAGAAAAATAACAAAAAAATTCCAAAACAAAATTTTCTTTGAATCTATCGATGTGACTTTACTGAAAGACCCAAAGAATATTAATTCCTGCAGTCACGAAAGCTCTAAGTCAAGATCATCGTTATTGTCATAGTCGTCATCGTCGTCATCGTCGTCATCGTTGTCATCATCATCTCACCAATGTCGTCCTCGTGGTAGATGACGGAATGGAAGGGTGCGGTGGCAGTGGCGGCTGCGGCGGCGGTGGTGGCGGCGGCGGCGGTGGCGGCGGTCCCCGTCTCTGGGTAGCGCTCCGCCGGCTCCACGTAGAAGGTGCCGTCCGTGGCGGTCGTCACGACGCCCTCGAAGCGCCCGCCCAGCACCGAGCCGTGGCACCGCGAGCCCGGCTCGCCTGGCACCGTGCGGGGGGGGGGGGGGGGCGTGGGGGGCGTGGGGGGGGGGGGCAGAGATGAGCTTCACCAGAGGGAGAGTTCGCGTGTCGTTTTGACGTTCCTCCTCCCACCTCCGTCGAAGGAGCACAAACCACAGTGGCTTTACTGTGCGGTCCGTAGACTAACATTGCCCATGGACTAACATTGCCCATAGACTAACATTGCCCATAGACTAACATTGCCCATAGATTACCCTTTCATATAGACTTACGTTGCCCATAGACTAACATTGTCCATAGACTAACATGGCCCAGCTCACCCCCGCCCCCCACCCCCGTCTCACCGTGCAGCAATCCCGTGTAGATGCGCGACGTGTCGATGCGTGGTCTCACCGTGCAGCGAGCCCGTGTAGATGCGCGACGTGTCGATGCGTGGTCTCACCGTGCAGCGAGCCCGTGTAGATGTGCGACGTGTCGTACGTCTCCTCCACGCCGCTGGTCTCCACCCGGAAGTCGTCCACAAAGAGGGAGACGTCTCTCCGCAGCCGCAGGTGGAAGTCCCTGCGGGCGGCACGGAGCGAGCGACGCGGCACGGAGCGTCAAGGGGATCGCCAGAGCACGGAGAGCGCCGCCTACGGAGGTCCGGCCACGGCGCACCGAGGGGGTGGCCAGCGCCACGTCCCGGCCGCCTTTGTCTGGCGCTGCCACGGTGGCTCGGAGATGTTGACTACCTTGGCAGGTACACAGGAGGTCTTGGGTTCCATTCCGACCCTGACGCCTGCTGTATATTTGAACCTCATGGCGATACCCCGGCAGTCATTCTTAGTCTGTCGATGGTCGGCGATGCGGCAATCGACTCGTCTCGACTCGAGCTGTACCCTACGATGCACCACCACCACCATGCACCACCACGATGCACCACCACCACCACGATGCACCACCACCACCACCACGATGCACCACCACCACCACCACGGTGCGTACCGCGAGCGTTCAGGGTTTCGGCGCAGTCGTCCTCGCTGCGTGTTGACATCGCGGAGTGGCACCGATGTCGGATTGAGTGGTACCCCAGTCGCGGAGTGAACTACACCCCTGGGAAAAATATTGTCCCAGATATAAAATATTTAATTGCCTCGGCCAGTTTGTATTATTATTGAGTATCCCGGGGTACCGCCATAAGGAACATTTGGAGTGTGCGTGTCTCTCTCTCTCCCCGTGGTCATGTGGTGATGAGTGGCCATCGGGCTATCATTTGTGATCGCCCGGTAGCTTCTAATAAAGAGCTCCATAGCTCGCTTTGGCCTTTCCTGGTGAAATAAAACATTGTTTCCATAAATTTCGTCTCCGCTTCGCACTGCGTATATTCATTTGAGGCCGAGTCTACCTAGGGGAGGAGAGGCCACGAACGGGGATCGAACTCGGGTCTCCCTGGCGGGTTGCGTAAGCGACGAGCGCACTCACCGCTGCGCCACCGCTCTGCACCGTCGCGGCACGGATTGTGGGACCACGGACCATGTGGGACCATGTGGGACCATGTGGGACCACGGACCATGTGGGACCATGTGGGACCATGTGGGACCATGTGGGACCATGTGGGACCACGGACCATGTGGGACCATGTGGGACCATGTGGGACCAGGGACCAATGTGGGACCATGTGGGACCAGTGGGACCATGTGGGACCATGTGGGACCATGTGGGACCATGTGGGACCATGGTGGGTACAAGATGGTGGCAGCGCTATGAGGCCATCATGACCCTATAGAAATCTAACTGTAAAATTGTTTCATCAACTGACAGTTGTTGTTGTTGTTGTTTTCACATAATCCACTTAGCGATGCGTTCCTGGGCATGATTCAAAATTTTATAGAGTTTAAAATTAACGAAATTCACTCGGTGATGATCAACTTCCGTGAGTAATTCACTTGGCGATGCATTACTGCCGAATTAGAATTGCTCTTCAACTCTGCGGCGAGCGAGTCAGCCAGCCAGAACGACGACTTACATCAAGTGCAATGAATCGGCGCGCAGTAACAACGCTTCGGAGCGCGAGTGGCGATTCAATTTGTTGGGCCGTGCTGCGTGGTGGAGGGTCTCGACGACACAACGTTGGTCCAGATCATCGCGCAACCTCAGCCGAGAACCGCGATCGCGACTCACGATATGCAGTTCGTGGATTTTGAAAATGTGCGCACCGTTTGGCGATGTCGCTGCTGCATTGGCAATGCACAAGCACAGACAACAACAACAACAACAATTCAACACGTTCCGTGTCAACACCACAGTGGCTTTAAAAGGAAAACAAAACGGAACAGGTCGACGTTTTGGGCCACGTTATTACGCGCTCTAAACAAGGTCCAGTGTCCGAAACGTCTATATATTTACGCTCTCCTTTTGAAGCCCACAGTAGATTTGGACAAATGTGTGTTGAGTTTTATTTTCAAATGTACGCACAGGTTAAGATCCGTAACAATGTTTATTTATTATTTATAACCACTTTATTCTTTCACTGTTGGCGCCCAGCCCAGTCCAGCCGCACCGGGAGCCAAATGTGATTTGTCACTTTGACCCTTAACCGCTGTGTATCATCGATACGTTCAATTTTCAAGTGCAATCTAATTGAGGGACCACGTGTTGTTGTTGTCTTGGTGCGGTCTGGGACCGTTGCCGATGCTGCTGCTGCTGCTGTTGTTTAGAATCAACGTCGTGCGCGTATGGAGTCATTTGTCTACCGCTATAAATTTCCACGTGACGATGATGATAAGCCCGCTTCGCTGAGCTATCATTTGATGGCCAGGTTCGCTTCAGAACAAAATAAACGAATATCTCTGTGGGGCCTTCCACCACCACTGTTCATCTTCGTGGCGTTCACGCTCGAACGGTTCATATTCTTGGTTCTTTCGGTAAAGTCACGTAGAAGGGAAATAATAAAATAATGAAAATATAAAACAATAAAAATTCTCACGACGTTTCGACTGCAACACAAGCAATCATCATCAGGTGTGAAATCCACAGCGTGCCGTGAGCGTGCCGTGAGCGTGCCGTGAGCGTGCCGTACGCGTGCCCGCACGCGCGTGCGGACGTGCGCGCGTCCTTACCGTCCGTACGCCGAGAAGCGGAGGCTGAGCTGCGCCGTCTGCCGGCCCAGGGCGGCGCGCCGGACGCGCTCGTGCTGCGTGTGGACGTCCTCTGTGTCGTAGGAGAGGCCCTCGTAGCGGCGGATGTAGCTGCCCAGGGCCTGGCCCAGGCCGCCGGCAACCCCCGCTCCTGCGCGCAGAACGACTCGCTCCGGTACGTTTCCCCGCCACACCGCACAGCCGCGTCGCGACGGGGTCCCCCGTGCCAAACCGGCCCGGCGTGGTTCGGGAGACGCTGGGTTCGGGTTCATTTTTCCCTATGCCCCCCCCCCACTACCCGTGCCATGCCCGTTTAGCCCCCCACCTCCCCTCTCCTCTACAACCCGCTGCGCAAACTCGCCGCGTTGTTTTAGCCACCCCCGGGCGCGCCGCTCGTTGATGTCGTTGCGACGAGCGTCGCTCCTGCGAGGGTCGTGGTTGCTGCAGGGCGACTGCCTCCAACCGGCCCGGGAGCGGCGTCCTTCACGAGCCGCCTCCTCCGCAGTCATCGGCAAGTCCACTCGGCTCCAAATCACCGCGTCAGTCCATCTCCCCTTTAGCCCGTGCCACGCCTGTTTAGCCCCCCGTCTCTATCCGGCGAAACTGAAGCGGTTGCGTTTGCAGTGGCTGGGCATGCGGTCAACATGGCCCAGCCAATGCAGCCTCGCCTGCCGGAGGAGCTCACCGATGAGATATTTACATCATTAGACCTTCTTTGCCAGTACCAAAATAAAAGAATAGGGTTTTTCCCCTTTTTTCTGGCAACAAAACTGAAACCTTTTTACACGGATTCAGAAAAGAAAGAAAGCTGTCTCTGGTGTGGGCCAATCAGTTTCAAGGACAATGCATATATTATCAGTGCGTTTTTTGTTTGCATTTTGACTGCAAGTATTGTGGTTAATGCAGACATGAATCCTTGTAAAAAGGTTTCAGTTTTCTTGCAAGAAAAAAGGGGGAAAACCCTATTATGATGGGATATTGTCGCGATATTTCAAGAATCTGTGAGGTTCTCGTACAACCCAGCCTGCTTAAAGCCGGTGAAAATGTTCCTATAATGGGGGTCCACGTTTCGCATGCATAGAGAATTGAGGGCATGACTGTGGCCGAGAAGACCTGGAGCTTCGTGTGGAGCGACAGGCCAAGTAGCATCGACACGGCGTTACGCAGGCGATGAAAAAAAATTCCGCTCGACTGATTCGAGGTGAGACCTCTGCTGCCAAACCAGAACTGGTCATGAACACACTGCCTGGGTACAGGAACTACCCAACTCTCTCCACAACTGCCAACACTCATAGGGAGTTGAGGGGGTGGAGTATTCGATAACATGAAATACCCAGGCATGTGCTTTGTTTTGGTGAGGCTGATGGTAAGGCCCATTTTTTAGTGGCACACTCCAGGTTCAGCAGCGGCGTCTCCAACTCCTCCTCAAAGAGAGCAGCAATCACCAGATCATCGGCATACGTAACATGGCAGACCAGTAGGGCGCCAACCCATGACCGCACCCAGGCATCGATCAGATCAGCCTCCCATTGTATCTGCTGTTCCAGATGGAAATTCCTCCGGTACAGCCATAGAAAACTTGTTGAACTACGTGTTAAAAAAATATGTTAAATAGTGTGGGGCCAGAGGACATCCCTGTCGCACCCCAAGGCGAACAAGGAATAGCTCCGACTCCTGGACACGTAGCTTTGCCCGGGCTTGCCCACCATCAGCCGAAACCATCTAAAGAAAAGTTACAAACAACCTGGCCAAACGTCCCAATGCCAAAAACATTTACCTGCAAATTACTCATTTGGGATTACACGTAGCAGCAGCAGCAGCACCTCCTAAAAAAACGAGTATTTAGACTCCTTCAGGCTTTTCTGGATAAACAAGTGAAATAATTAGAGTGCTAATTCATCACGAGGGTCCTTAATGAGAGTGAGCAGAGGGTCCGGGCCCCCCAGGGCACAAGAACAGCCCCAAGGCCCTGGCCTCTTTAAACCAGGCCCTCATCTTTTCACCAAGCCAACACGCCTTGCACGCATCTCACGAGACCACCGCATTGCTCATGTGGTGCCACAGCGACGGGGCCGCTCTGCCGAGCCAGGGAGCCGCCCGGCTTCCCCCACCGCACTGCCCCCCATCACCCGCCCCACATAAGCACACACCCACACGCATCCCCCCCCCCCCCATAGAGCTGGAAGGGAAGGTTACCTGATCGACCGGTTTTTATCCGAGAGACCCTTATCGGGATTAATTCTCACGGTTTCCGGCGATCAGGGAATTGGATGACCTCCCCCGTGCTACGTGGTACCGCGGCGCTGCTGCCGGCCTTAATATGGTGTGGTCGCGGCGTGGGGCATTCGGCCACCGCGGTTGAGGCGCATTTCCCCCCACACACACCCCCACGAGTCGACGGGGCAAGCAGGGGAGGCACGAGACAGCATGAATAGCGGGGTCACAGGGGCTGTTGCGCATAGTCATGGGGGGTTGGGATAATTGCGCTTGAGCGCGCAGGCCCCATTGTTAGGAAGGGTAAGGGAGTAATTAGGATGTACGCTGCCAACGTCGCTCACTGATTAGCATATCAACAGCGCCTGGGGACTGCCGTGCGCGGGCTTGGGGTGCACGAGCCCATTGTTCAGCGCAGCATCCCCTTTGGAGGTAGGGAGGATAAATAGAGGAGCGCAGAGGGGAAATCGCTCTCTTACTCCAGCGCCAGGCGACCAGACGCAGCTCCAGCCAGCGACCCGGACGTCCGTGCGACGCACCGAGGCGCGCGGTGAGCACCGGGATCAGCGGACCGCCGTGGACACTTAACAGTGAGTAAGAAGGGGAATTAGAATCATAGCAGATAAATAGGGAATAGGTACAGGTTTAGTGGAATAGGCCAGCCTCGTCGACTCACTGATTCAACATCAATTCGCAGGTGGCATATAATAAATCATTAATAGCGAAGCGTGGTCTCGCGTGATCTTGTCGTGCAGTGTGAGCGTGTGGGTGCGCTGTGTGCACAGTGGTTCGCCACGTGAGTGAGCGCTGCGCGGAGCTGAGCGCGCGGGTTGCGCGTGGGTACGCAGTGATTCTGTGGTGCTGCGGCTCGCCTCGGGGGAGCGCTGCGCAGAGCGGTGCGAGAGTGGGTGTCGCGTGTGTTCACTCCGTGTGTGATACAGGTGCGCGAGTATAACGTGAGTTGAGTTGGAGTGCGCGGAGCGGCGTGTGGGTGGGCGTGCGTGCGTAATCGGCGTCCGCCAGGTGCGCGCTCATAACGTAAGCGGCCAGCAGGCGGCGAGCGCTGCGCAGAGCGGCGCAAGAGTGCGTATCGCGTGTGGAGCTGTATGCGTGTGTGCGCGCACGTTCACTACGTGTATAATACGGATGCGCATTGGTAACGTGCCGCACAGGGCTATACTGCGAGCACGGCGTTTGATTGACGATGATGTGCGCACGTATGCTCGCAGCGTGGGAGCGCGGCGCGAGGCTGTAACAGTAGGGGCGTCGCGTTCGAATGCCGGCGAAACCGTAGCGGGTAATAGGGAGGTGGGGTAACGTAAACGAAATAGGGGATGCAGGCGGGAGGGACCCCGGGGGCCGACGGCCCCCACACTCAGCCTCGTCCAGACCACCGTATCCTCGGATAAATTGTCCCACCCACTCACGCGGGGCTGAAAATGTTGAACTTCTTTCGCACCATACATAGACCAAACGTGCTAATCGCAGGTGTGGGGGAAGGGCAACGAACCAAAGACCAAAAGCAGTTGTAAAGAAATGCGTTTGCAATCTCGAGGATATAAAAGCTCCCTGTAGCTTGCTGATATTGGAAGGGCATTTCAGACGGCCTCAGCACCACAGCATGTGGTCCTCACAAAAGACAAAGATCCCCCGTATAGCCTTAACAGACTGTAGGGGCAAGTGCTGTTAGCGAGCACCTATGAAGGCCGGCACGGCACACGAGGGGGTGGGTGGCCAGCACCACGCCCGGCCGCCTTTGTCTCCCTAGTGGCAATGTTTACACACCGCACCAGGTACTCATTTGAGGCTGAGTCGACCTAGGGGAGAGGCCCGGGACCGGTTCAGATAATCGTCACTGGTGTTGGCCGTGAGCGGGAATCGAACTCGTGTCGCTGGGTTCATAGCGCAGCGTAGCGCTAACCGCTACACTACCGCCATCACACACACACACGCGCGCGCACGTGCCCCATAGACCTCCCCCCACACACCTGGGGATCAATATAGGCGGTGCTGTGAGTCACTTGGACTCTGCACCTCAACGACAAACCTCCGTTTGTGCGAGTGCATGCGATGTGTCGCCACGTGTGCCACAAACGAGAAGAGATCCCCCGCGTAGCAATGCACAGAGTGTAGGGGCAAGTGCCATTAGCGAGGAGCGGCGGTCAGGCCGGCACGGCCACACGAGGAAGTGGGTGACCAGCACCACCCCTGGCTGCCTTTGTCTCCCCAATGGCGATGTTTACACCCCGCACCAGCTACAGTATTCATGCAAGGCCGAGTCTACCGAGGAGAGGCCTGGGACCGGTTCAGATATTCGTCAACGATTTTGGCTGAATTCAGCTAACCACTACACTTACCGCTACCCCATCATCTCGGCAACAAAGACAAAGGTCCCCCGTATAGCCTGCACAGACTGTTGAGGCAAGTGCTGTCAGCGAGTAGCACCTATGAAGACCGGCAGTGTACACGAGGGGCCACCACCACTACCACGCCCGACCGCCTTTGTCTCCCCAGCGGCGATGTTTTTACACACCAGGTACTCATTTGAGGCCGAACCAACCTAGGGAAAAGGCCCAGGACCGGTTCAGATAATCGTCACCGGCGCTGTAACGCAACACAGCGACAGGTGAAGGCCGGCCTAACGCCACACACCCACACACCCCAAACCCACCTGGTTAAGGCGGTTGGACTCGAGTGATTGTCAAGAGAATGACTAAGAGTTGACACAATTGCCCCGGCAAACATCAAAGGTGTCGATGTTGGTGCACGTGATTGGTGATGGTTGGGGGGCCACTCTGGGCTTGCAATCCAGAGGGGTGTGCAAAGAAGCAATGCAAGTCCTCGTGCGCGTGCAATTCCATTTCACTACGATTATCTTCATTTTTGGCCAAGTATGGCCCACTGAGCTAATTTTCTAGCGCTCTCTTTTATTTTTTATCAGAAACGACCCTGGCCACAAATCATAGCTCGACGAAGAGGTTCGTCACCATGTGGAAATTTACAGAAGCAGCCAAATACAGCACTCCAACCGTGTCTCCGTTCCAGGTGTGGAGGGGAAACACACGAATACTCGAACCCAGTGACGTTGATTCTACACGTGGAGGAAGAAACTGGAGCACCCCGAGAAGAATCCGCACGACCACAGGGAAGAGAGACACGCAAACTGCAAATGAGGTCGTGGGTTCCGTCCCAATCCTGACGCCTGCTGCTGTATATTTGGAGTTTGCGTGTCGCTCTCTCATCATCACGGTGGCTAGGAGATGTTAGCTACCTCGCCTGGTCTACAGGAGGGCGTGGGTTCGGTCGCGATCCTGACGCCTGCTGCTGTATATTTGGAGTTTGCGTGTCTCTCTCTCATCATCACGGTGGCTAGGAGGTGTTAACTACCTCGCCTGGTGTACAGGAGGTCGTGGGTTCGATCCCGATCCTGATGCCTGCTGCTGTATATTTGGAGTTTGCGTGTCTCTCTCTCTCTCTCATCATCATCACGATGGCGAGGAGATGTTAACTACCTCGCCTGGTCTACAGGAGGTCGTGGCTTCGATCCCGACCCTGACGCCTGCTGCTGCTGTATATTTGGAGTTGCGTGTCTCTCTCGCCGTGGTCGCGTCGATTTTTCCCCGAGGCCCTCCGATTTCTTTCCCTCCACATTTAGAATCAACGTCACGCGTTTACCGTATTTGGCAGCTATACATTCCCACGTGATGATGATGATGATGACGATGATGATGATCCCACTTCGTTGAGCTATCATTTGTGACAACCAGGTCGGTTGTGAGCTACGTAGCACCGTGGGCCTCTACATTGTAAAAATAAAAACAAAAATAGTTTAGTGTCGTTTAGTTTGTGATTGCGAAGCGAGACGTTATCCTGGCCTCCACGTGGTTCCACGTTATCAACTTGAAACTCACCCACACTGGGGTAGGTGAACGATGGAACTCCGGGGGGGGGGCGGGGGGGGGGGCAAGCCACGGAGTTGACCTAAAAGGCTACGCCAGGGCAGTGGTCGAGAAGTCAGGGATGGGGGGGGAGGGACATTTGACAGTGCGAGGTGGTGGAACGCGCTCTCTGAAGATTCGTCAAGACGGTGAAATCGTTTCACGTGCAGCAAAGGGGGTGTGGGGATGGGGGTGGATTGTGACGGTTGGCACCGGGAGGTCTTCATGCAGCAGTGGATCGACCATAGCTGGCGATGACAACGTTGGACTCATCCTATTCCTGGACTCCCTATTATAATCGGCGATAATCCGTCGATGTTGTTTTTAATCTCCCCGCACCTCCGATTGGCTACGTACGGTGCGAGAGAAGTTCCACGTGCTGCACGTACATGGAACGGCACCCCGAGGTCTGCTATTCTATGGCTAAGAGGAGCCACTCGTAAACAGAAAGACACACACACAAAGACACACGTGAATACGGAAAGACAAACACATCAAGACTGAAATCTACACTTATACAAAGACAAAGATCCCCCGTATAGCCTTAACAGACTGTAGGGGCAAGTACTGTTAGCGAGCACCTATACACATACGTACAGGTACATACACACACATAAAGCTATGCCGTACATATATATACAAGACAAAGATCCCCCGTATAGCATTGCTAGACTGTTGGGGCAAGTGCTGTTAGCTTAGCACCTGTGAAGGCCGGCACGGCACACGAGGGGGTTGGTGGCCAGCACCACGCCCGACCGCTTTTGTCTCCCCAGTGTTGATGTACACGACACACCGCACCAGGTACTCATTTGAGGCTGAGTCGACCTAGGGGAGGCCCATGACCGATTCTGATAATTGTCACCGGTGGTGGCCGTGAGCGGGAATCGAACTCGAGTCACCGGGTTCGTAGTGCAACCCTCTAACCCCTACACAAAGCCACATAGTACACAATACTCCACAAAGACACACACAGACACATGTTACACAAAGACACACAAAGTCACATGGTAGACACCACTACACAAAGACACAAAGCCACATGGTACACAGCACTACACAAAGACACATGTTACACAAAGACACACAAAGACACATGGTAGACACCACTACACAAAGACACATGTTACACAACACTACACAACACTACACAAAGACGCACAAAGACACATGGTAGACAACACTACACAAAGACACAAAGCCACATGGTACACACCACTACACAAAGACACACCAATCCACATGTTACACACCACTACACCAAGCCACATGTTACACACCACCACCACGACATCACGGTGGATGTGCTCTCCCAACAACACACCGGCGTGGCGCTGTAACGAATCGGCACCGCTCCCTTGACGTGACGACGCCTTGCTAATTGTGGCGGGTGGTGGCGGGTTCAACGACACATTTAAACTTGCGCGACCTCACCGCCAAATAAACAACAACCACAACAACAACAACCACAACAACAACAACCTGCATTACGGACGAAATCCTCCTCCGTGTTAATAAACAGCGCATCCACGACACACACACACCCCCAATACAATGGCCACACACAGCACGCAAGAAGACAAAGATGCCCATTGTACCGGCTTCACGGGCTTATGGGGGGCAAGGCACACGAGGGGTTGGCTTGACGTTGGCGGGGCGTGCGGCCACCACGCCCGGCCGTCTTTGTCTCTCCCCCAGCAGCACCACACAGGGCTCCTCTCCAGCTCACGGCCGAGTCGATTGAGTGGCGAGAGTCGTGGGGGGGGGGGGAACTTGGTTCAGATGTTCGGCCACTGATGTTAGCCGTGAACGACACAAAGGGCCGCCGTGTAGCCCGTAACAGACTGCCGGGGCAAGTGCTGTGAGCGAGCAGCACCTATTGAAAGGCCGGCAACGTGGGGCAAGCGAGGGGTGGGTGGGTGGGTGGGTGGCCAGCACCACGCCCGGCCGCCTTTGTCTCCCCCAGTGGCGATGTTCACTACACACCGCGACCGCAGGTACTCATCCCAGGCTGAGTCGAAAACAACAACAGACAGCTCCCGACACGCCAGCACCAACACTCGTGTGACCACCACCAGCACCAACACTCGTGACCACCACCAGCACCACCACCAGCACCACCAGCACCACCAGCACCAGCACCACCAGCACCACCACCACTATCACCACTACCAGCACCAGCCCCACCACCACCAGCCCCACCACCATCACCACGACCAGCACCATCACCACCACCACCAGCCCCACCACCACCAGCCCCACCACCATCACCACCACCAGCACCATCACCAGCACCATCACCACCACCACCAGCACCATCACCATCACCACCACTATCACCACCACCACTAACACCACCACCGTCCACCTCACCTCGGCTGGATGCGCTCGGCGAGCTGAGCGATGCCACGACGATGATGAGGAGGAGAGTCCGCGTGGGGTGCATCGCCTCCGGAGATCTCTGCCTGCCTGTCCTGCCTGTACGCCTGCCTGCCCTGCCTTGTCCTGCCTGCCCTGCCTGTCTGCCTGCACGCCACGTACGTCGTGCCCTTGTTACTGGAGGAAGCAGAGAGCGGGAGGAGAAGGCTGAGAGAGACGGCGGCGATGTCTGCCGAAAGGCATCGCCGCGCGAACACCCAGAGAACACACAGAGCACACACAGAGAACACACAGAGAGCGCACAGAGAGAACACACACATAGAGCGCACAGAGAGCACAGAGAGAACACACACAGAGAGCACACACAGCACACACAGCACAGAGAGCACCCAGCACAGAGAGCCCCCAGAGCAGAAGAGCACACCCAGAGCACGCACAGAGAACACACAGAGCAGCAGAGCACACACAGAGCACAGAGAGCACAGACTCGTGGTGTTCAGACGACCACTCCCTTCCCACCAGTGGGAGCACTCCCTCCGCGATTATGGAAACCGCCTCCTCTCCCCCTCCTCCTCCTCCCCCTCCTCCCCTCCTCCTCCTCCTCCACCCCCCTCCTCCTCTCCCCCTCCTCATCTCCCCCTCCTCCCCCTCCTACCGCCTCCTCCTCCCCCTCCTACCGCCTCCTCCTCCCCTCCTCCCCCCTCCTCCTCCCCCCTCCTCCTCCGCCCCCCCTCCTCCTCCTACCCCCTCCACCCCCTCCTCATCCCTCCTCCTCCCTCCTCCTCCCCCCTCCTCCTCCTCCCCCCTCCTCCTCCTACCCCCTCCACCCCCTCCTCCTCCCTCCTCCTCCCCCCTCCTCCTCCTCCCCCCTCCTCCTCCTACCCCCTCCACCCCCTCCTCATCCCTCCTCCTCCCTCCTCCTCCCCCCTACCTCCTTCCCCTACCTCCTCCTCTCCCCTACCACCCCCTCCTCCCCTCCTCCTCTCCCCCTCCTCCTGCTCCCCCCCCCCCTCCTCCTCTCCCTCCCCCTCCTTCCCCCTCCCCCTCCTCTCTCTCTCCCCCCTACCTCCTCCTCCTCCCCCCTACCTCCTCCTCTCCCCCCCTCCTCCTATCTCTCCTCCCCCTCCTCCCCCTCCCCCCTCCTCCCCTCCCCCTCCTCCTCCCCCCTCCTCCCCCCTCTTCCCCCTCCCCCTACCTCCCCCTCCTCCTCTCCCTCCCCCCGTGGTCGCGTGGATTTCTCTCTCTCAGGGTCCTCCGGCTTCTCCCCTCCACGTGGTGCGATAAACACGCGTCTCGTCTCCCCCTCCACGTGGTGTCACAAACACGCGCTTCGAGTGTCCGGCTGCGGGCATCAATTCCCACACGACGATGACGAGCCACTGGGTGAGCTCGCGTCTGTGATCGCCAGCTCGCCAGCTCGCCTTCTGACTCAAAGGGCGACACATCAGCTTCGTGGGGCCTGACCTGGCAAAAGAGAGCGGGTTTTTCGTTTTTTGTTTCATTTTTGTTTTCGTTTTGTTTTTTGTTTTAGTTTATTGTATAAGTTTTTTTTCGTTTTCGGTTTTTTTTCGTTTTTTTCAGTTTTTGGTTTTAGTTTATTGTTTCAGTTTTTTTTCGTTTTCGTTTTTTTTCAGTTTTTTTTCAGTTTATTGTTTCCGTTTTTTTTCGTTTTTTTCAGTTTTTTGTATTAGTTTTAGTTTATTGTTTCAGTTTTGTTGTTGTTGCAGACTCGCCCTCGCCACGTGCAAGCGAGATGTCTCTCACCTGCTCGGGGCTGACAGTTCACGTGCACCACCACCGCAACGTGAATCAGGAAATTACGCGAGCTTGTGTGGGTGAGGGTCAGGGCATGGCAAGGGGAGCGTGGTGAAGGAGGATTGGCGGAGTGGGGAGCACGTGTGGCAGCGTCGGACATTCGCCTTGGTTCAGGCAACCCACTGGCACATGGGGTCTGTCCCGTGACCTCCTCCTGCCAGGCAGCCTCCCGACACTGCACGTGACCTCAAAGTGCACCTAGCCTGGCACAAGCGCCGTGGCGAACAGCGGCTGTTGTTATGGTAGGGCCAAGGTCTATTGCCTGGTGTGTTCATGGTGGGTGCGCGTCTGCCTGGGGAGTGCGGTTCGAGTTAGGGCTCGTTTTAGTGTCTGCTCGGATGATGTGGTCGGTGTAGGATGTGGCTGGTGCAAGTTGCAGTGTCTGGTTCCCATCACCACGTGTTCACCAATCACCCGTCGGTACTCACGGCAAAGACAAAGATCCCCCGTACAGCCTTGACAGGCTGTTGGGGCAAGTGCTGTTCACAAGTAGCACCTATGAAGGCCGGAACGGAACACGAGGGGGTGGGTGGCCAGCACCACGCCCGGCCGCCTTTGTCTCCCCAGTAGCGATGTTAACACATCGCACCAGGTACTCATTTGAGGCCGAGTCGACCTAGGGGTGGCCCATGACCTATTCAGAAAACATTCCTGCGGAGGAAGCTGGTAGGAACGTTGGGTTGCTCGGTCAATGGCCAGGGTTAACGGCGGCGTGGTGTATTCCGCAAATATGGCCGACTGTGAGGGCGGGCACAAGCCGGCGTGAGTAGGTTAAACGTTGAGTTTTATAAGGGCACCACGGGGTGACCAGCCCCTCCCCACCCAGCCCCACCCCTCCAACCCCCCACCCAGCCCCTCCCCACCCAGCCCCTCTCCACCCAGCCCCACCCCTCCCATTTTTGGATCCACGACGGACGGACACAATAATCCCCTGTGGGCTGGTGTAACCAGGAGGTTCCTACCAGTATAATCGTCCCTGGTGTTGGTGGCCGTGAGCGGGAATCAAACTCAGGTCGCCGGGTTCGGAGCGTGAAGCTCCCACCACGACCACTCTCTCCCCACCGTCACAATGGATTAGCATCTTAGCACCGTGGTCGATCAGAGCTCGCTCTCTCGCTCTCTCCAGCAATGCTTCGTGGTGCATTCACAGCACCATCTGCCGTCGAAGCGATTGACCCGTAAGTGGCTGTGTTCGTCTTAATTACCCCAATTATCAAAGACAGGATGAGATGCACACCCACGCACGGGCATGTGAAGAGTTTGCTTAAACCCTCTTCTTCTGTTTAGTTGAAAGTTACTTTCGGGCCAAGCGCTGTTTGAGAGCACCAATTAAAGAATTCGCCAACCCTCTTGTGAATGACAGAAGCAAAGGCAAAGATCCCCCGTATAGCCTGCAGCAGACTGTTGGGGCAAGTGCTGTTAGCGAGTAGCACTGCCTATGAAGGCCGGCGCGGCACACGAGGGGGTGGGTGGTGCAACACCACATCCGGCCGCCTCCGTCACCCCAGTGGCGATGTTTACTACGCACCGCACCAGGTACTCATTTGAGGCTGAGTCGACCTAGGGGTGGCTCAGTACCGGCTCAGATAATCGTCACTGATGTTGGTCGTGAGCGGTAATCGAATCCAGGTCGCCGGGTTCATAGCGGAGCGCGCTAACCACCACACCACCGCTCTCTACAATAACAGAAGCACACATTCAAACAAACACACAGGGACATCTGCCTCACCCACATCAAATACAAAGATGCCCCATTTAGCCTTATTGACTGCTGGGGTAAGAGCTGTCTGTGAGCACCTATTAAAGATACTCGCGTATGAACATAAATTAGATATATACCTGAATCACTACACGTAACATATGCAGTACACGTTGCATACAAGCGCCCACATTATACAAAAGGTGACAAACATAATACAGGGTGGCCTAAAGGTTAGGACATGGGGTTATTTAATTATCTTAACAAATGTTTAAACTGACTGCGTGTTGAGTAGTGGTGGTCCAGACCTCCCTTTCCCTGGCGACAGACTCCAGCACTACATTACTAAACACTACTATACACTACACTATACACTACTACACTATACACTACTACACTATTACACTATACACTACACTACTACACTATACACTACTATACACTACACTATACACTACTACACTATTACACTATACACTACACTACTACACTATACACTACTATACACTACACTACTACATTAAACACTACACTATACACTACTATACACTACACTACTACACTATGCACTACTATACACTACACTATACACTACACTATCAACCGAGGAATTTAGCATATTTATGGAAAATGCAGATATGGGATTTTATTATTTTATTTCCCTTCTACGTGACTTTACCGAAAGAACCAAGAAGATGAATCCCTGCAGTCACGAAAGCTTTAAATCGAAATTCAACTATATCTCGTTGATACCTTCCCACCAGCTCCGTCTCCCCCCTCCAGTGACGTGACATTCCACGTCCCAATAGCGAGTGCCCATCGCCAAGGTCCAGTCCGTCTGAGCCCATCCCTATCCCTGCCACACTGGCAACGCACACACGCCCCTCACTCTTCGTCCTGCGAATGGGTGGACCCACAGGACGGTGCCACGGAGCCATTTGTGGCTGTGCCCGACCGGGTTACGTGGGTGACCCGGCCACCAGGCACATGCCAGCAAACACCACCCCCCCAGATGAATACTGTATTACCCCATGCCAATCAGGTGCAGGGGAAGGACAACAATCTAAACACAAAAAGTAGTTCTAAATAAATGAGTTTTCAATCTAGACCAGGGGTCGGCAACCAAAATAACAAGAAGAGCCATTTCTTTCCAATTCGGTACAAAATTCAGTATTTCAAGAGCCGCAATGCATCTGAGTACATACTGTACATACGTACATATCGTCAAGAAGCAGCCCGTAAAGAGCCGCATGCGGCTCCGGAGCCGTAGGTTGCCGACCCCTGATTTAGACGATTAAAAGAACAGAGCTCCCAGTGGCTTCTAATATCAGAAGTGTTCCAAACGGCCGCAGAAGCGCATCTGAAAGCGCCCCGTGCAGTGAGACCGTCTTTGTTCGATGGTTAGCCAAAATCCGCTGCCGCGAGATTGACCGGAGTTGCCGTGACGATGGCTTATGCTGCTTGACGAGACCGGCAAGGTATTGTGGTTCATCCGTGGCAAGCACTCTGTGTGTGTGTAATGAGTGCGAACTTCTCATGTATTCGTTCGGCAACCGGTAGCCAATGCAGATCGGAAACGGTTTTATTCCTGCCGATGGCTAACTTTGGCGGAAAGTGATATTTGAAACAGAAGTTCCAGAATACCCTTTTCACCAACCCGCATTGACCAGCGTGGTGAAGTATGGTTAAACCCTCACGATGTGGGGGGGTGCTTCATGCAGTAGCGGACAGTGTTGTAGATTACTATAATTATTTATAATATACACAACCATTGATTAAACACACATATACACACGCTGGGTGTCAAATTGGCTTTCAGAATCAAATAGGTGTCATTTATTAGTGAAAGGTATTTGTAAATTGGTGGGATAGAAAAAAAAAGAATTCGTCCGTTAAATATACCCCACTTGAAAACTAAACATTTAGATGTGCTTATATTTTCAAGCAATATAATTGAGTACACCACATATTCGACAGGCAGGGATGCATGTGGTGGGGT